CCGACACCCCAATCAGTGAGCCCTGCCGGCCAGGGCTGTGGCTGTTACTGTGATGGCAAAAGGAACTTTGCACATGAGATTAAGTTAAGGATTTTGAGATTGCAGGGAGATTATTCTGGATTATTTGAGTGGGTCCTAAATGTAATCAATCACAAGGGTCCTTACAAGAGGAATCAGAGGAGCCAGATGAAGAAGTGGATGTGATGAGGGAAGCAAGAGGTTAGCGTGGTGCAGGAAGGGGTCACAGGCCCAGGAAGCCAACGGTCTCAGAAGCCGGAAAAGGCAAGAACACGTTCTCCCCCTGGATCCTCCCAAGGAACCAGCCCCGCTGACACTTTGCAGCCAGTGAAACTGATTTCAGACTCCTGGCCTCCAGAACGACATGGGAATAAATGTGCGTCATTTTATTACTTATTTTTAAAATCCTCACCTGAGGACATGCTTAGAGAGAGGAAGGGAGGGAGAGAGAGAGAGATCGACCTGAGAGGGAAACATCGATTGGCTGCCTTCCGAACACTCTGACTGCAACCCAGATAATCGAACCAGCAACCCTTCGGTACATAGGACGACACTCAACCAACTGAGCCACTTCAGCGGGGCGATGTGTGTTAAGTCACTGAATCCGTGGAAATTCGTTATTGCAACCACAGCAAGCGAGGACAATGAGCTGATGGACCAACTGAAGGCTTTTTCCATGAACATGAATCACTTTTCAATTCAAAGTTACATTAAAACACGATATCTATCTATCTATCTATCTATCTATCTATCTATCTCCTGGCCGGTGTGGCTTTGTTGGTTGGGCATCGTCCTGTGCACCAAAAGGTTACTGGTTCAATTCCCAGCCAGGCATATGCCCGGGTTGTGAGCTAATTGATGTTTCCCTCGCCCTTCCTCTCTCTCTAAAAAGCAATAAAAACATCTAAAACACTATCTATAGGAACCATTACAGAAGGAATGATCGGCTCTCCTGGAGGGTAAGAGAAAAGGAAAGATCTCAGTTAGATAATTGGATGGGAGGGTGGGGCATTCAGAATGAAATTCAGATCCCCAGGCACTGCCCACAAGCTCCCTTCGATCTGGAGGCAGAGCCTGAGAAGCTATGTTTCAATTGGAGACATTTTGCAGGGAAGAAGAAAAAACAACCCACTGCGTGCCACAAAGACCCTCTAGGCTCATGTCCCCAAGAGGCCGATGGTATTGGGTGCAGAGTCTCAGTCCTGGCGTGGGGGGCTTTGGGAGCCCCATCATTCTTTGTTCTGGGGCTGCTTTGTGCTCTACAGGACGTTTAGCTGCATCTCTAGCTTCTGTCCATCCACTGGACACCAGTAGCATGATCACCAGGAATGTCTCCGACATCAGCCAATGTCCCTGAGGGCCCATATCACTCCCAATTGAGATCCACTGGGTTAACATAGGATCTGAAAACATGTAACTGTAACAGATGAGAAGTGATTGCAACGTCCCCTGAGAGGGGACTGGTTACTAAACTCGGATGAGCCACCCTGGATGAAGGGTGAGGAGTTAACAAGGAAATAACTCCGCTGGCCGCTACTGAAGCTTGAAGTGCAGCTTTGTTAACCCAGGGATTCCAGCTGTTACCAACTTACCCAACTGAATACAAACGCCAGCGGCAAAGAGGTATCACATGATACTGTCCACTGCGCGCTGTGATGTTCTCCAACCGGGATGGTCCACCCCCCGCAGAATAGCGAATGTTACAACCAAAAAGAACCGGCAGAACCGCGTAGATCAGGTCCACAATGTGTTGTTAAACTTTAAAAGAAAATTGACCCCATGTTTATGAAATAAAAGTGTGTTGGGTGGGGGAGAAGAAAGCAGGTTGCAGTAGAGTGTATGTAACATGATGCTCTTTTAATTTTAAAAATGTTATTATTGATTTCAGAGAGAGAAAGGGAGAGGAAGAGACAGAAGCATTGATGACGAGAGAACCATTGATAGATCAGCTGCCTCCCACATGCCCCACACTGGGGATTGAGTGTGAAACCCGGGGCCTGTGCCCTGACCAGGAACCGTGACCTCCTGGTTTATGCTCAACCACTGGGCCACACCAGCCCGGCACATGATCCTCTCTTTAAAAATGTGTATAGTTATGCTCCAGGCAGGTGGATAAGGCTAGGTTTTTTTTTTTTTTTTTACCAAAATGTTCTCTAAGGACGACTTAATTTTGCTTTTTTAGTTTGCTTAATTGTATGTCCTAATTTTCCCACAAGGACCACAATCTGTTATTTTGTAAATGCCTTGGGTATCTGCCTAGTGCACCCTAAGCACTTAAGGATCTCGAGAACCCTGAACTATTTGACACAGAAAATCCAAATCCCTGGGGTGGGACCACCGACGCCTCTGCTCCAGGCCGTGTCCCCGAGATCCCCAGGTGCCCAACTGCCCGCTGGTGCCTCCTGCAGCCACTTCCTCCCTGTCTCATGTCCCACCTCCATCGGGGCTTCCTGTGGGGACCTCCTGGATACCAAACCCCCATCTTAGAGTCTCTTTTCTGGGGACTCCCAACCATGAAAGTCCCGCTCCACAGTCTGTCAACTGAAACAACCCTGCAGCTGACCCCACAGGATAGAGTGAGCTTGGCCATCTGTCCCTGGGCTATTTTAGGGGGTGCTTTACGGGACAGGCTGGGCCACAGGGCTCTCCCTGCTCCCTCACCCACACTCACGCCCCCCTCAGCCTCTCTCCAGCACTGGTTGCATCCCACACCTTGGCCAGCAATGGGGGAGGGGCCTGGGTGTGGTGTGTTGGCAGTGAGAACACCGGCCTGGCCTGGTGACTCAATTGGTTGGAGCGTCGTCCCCGTCCCATACGCCAAAAAGGTTGTGGGTTCATTCCCAGTCAGGGCACATGTGGGAGGCAACCCATCAATGTTTTCTGTTCTCTCTCTCCCTCCCTTCCCCTCTCTCTCAAAATCAATAAACGTATCCTCAGGTGAGGATTAAAAAAAAAGAGAGAGAACACAGACTTACGTGAAAACCATCCAGGACCGTTTAATAAAAAAATAAGCAAGTTATCCAGGATCCGACCCAGCAAGCAGTGTCCATCCCAAAGAGCGGAAGGCACCGCTGGCCGGCTCTGACATTCACTTCCGGCTGCAGGCGCAGCAAGCCCTCCAGCCTGGGCCGGGGAACATCCTGCCCAAGCTGCAGACAGCACCCCAGTGCCCCTGAGCCCCCCAAAGGCTTAGACAGAGGAACCCCACTGAGCAGGCGGACACACCTGAGACGCAGGCCTGGGAGGCCAAGCAAACAGGACCAGGAGCAGGCAAGGGAGATCCAGCCCCCTTCCTCACCCCGCCCCCTCCGGGGGGGCTGGCGCAGGAACCTGCAAGCGGCCATGTGGTTACTGGGGCCAGCAGAAGCCCCCGGTGAGAGAAGTCACCCTCCCTCCGGGGTGGTGACCTGCACATAGCTCAGGTGACTGCGGGATGAATAAGGACTCAAACTCAACCCTTCGCTAACACCACTGGGAGTCCACAAGGTCTGGTACACAGTAGGCACTCAATAAATGCCTAATGCATGAAATGAAAGGACTCTTTCTGTTCATCTCTGGGGCCCAGCACACATGTGGGAAATCAAATGTAGTGACTGAACAAGTGTTATACTGTTTTGTATCACCAATGTCTAGCGCACACAGTAGGTGCTCTTCAGGTGAGTGGGGAAGAAGCCAATTAAAGAGTGAAAAGCACCTTGTTCATCTCCATGCCTAGCACCCAGCTCAGCTTCTGGCGCACAGCGGACACTCAATAACAGCACGGAGTTGATAAGAACTTTTGTGTCTCAAGTACCAGGCACATAGTAGGTACCTGATATGCGTTTGAATAAATGAAAGTGTCTTATTTATCTCAATATTCCCAGAGCCTGAAATGGTGCCCAACCGTCAGTAGGCACTCAATAAATACTTAAATTAATCTTTAAAAAATGAATGTGTATCACTAGTGCCTGATTCTTGGGGAGGGGGGCTGTCAATAAATGCTTGATGACTGAATCATCACTGAGGAAATCATTATGCCTCATTCACGGCCATCACCCACGAACCTGGTACATAGTCAATGCTTAAGAAATGTCAGGCACGTGGAGATGAATGATGGCTTGTTCCCACCCAGTCTCCCAGTGCAAAACACTATGCCTGGCATACAGTAGGCACTCCATTAATGCTGCCTGTGTGTACAAGATTGCTGAGCAAGAGCTGGCTGGCCACCACCCTGCATGGGGAGCCCTCCAAGGCCTGCCAGGGTCTGCAGGGGCCCTGCTGTCCCCAGCAAGCACACGGAGGCTGCTGTGGCCACTGCCCCTCAGAGCTCGTCCCGGGCAGCGCTGTCCAGCGGGGACTGAAGCACATCCGAGTTTTTGGCCTCTCGGCTCAGGGCCTGCTGCTCCCTCATCTTCTGGGATTTGGCACGGTCCCAGTCGGTCTTGACGTGCTCGTTGTTCCACACAACCGAGGTCTCTGTGTCGCTCACGTACCCGTCGTCCCCCGTGTAGTGCGTGGGGAACACGAGCAGAGGCTCCACGGAGAAGGCGCGCAGGTTGCGAGGGGAGAAGTGGGCCTTATACTCGGACCTGGAAGGGCAGGGAAGAAGGGGCAGCAGTGGGTCGAGGGGAAGGGACCGAAGGAGGGAGAAGTGAAAGGGAACAGATTGAGACAGAAGGGGGATGGGGTTCAAATGGAGCCAGAAGTGGAGGGGACACACAGAGGAAGTGGGCACCTTCCTGGGGCCCCCGAGATCCTCATGCCCCGCCCCCTCCAGGACTGCCGCCTGAGACCACAGCCCACTGCCCGAGCAACCCCTTCTCACACTGGGTGCTTGTCGAACATGACTGGCAGGAACTCGTCCACGGGCAGCATCTTGGAGAGCGGCTGGGCCGCCAGCAGCTTCCGGGCGCCTTGCAAGGAGATGACGTAGGCCAGTGTCCAGTAGGAGTAGTCGGCCTCCACCAGGTTCCTCACGCGGGGCACAGCCTTCTCGGGGTGCTCCACCTGCATCCGCTTCCGGCCCACATAGCTGGGGTGTGGAATTGAGGCCGTCACCCTCCTCCCGCCCACCAGAGAACGCTAACCCAGCAAGGCCCCTGTCCGGCCCTGGGGAGGGAGCGGGCTTGGGTGTCTGGGGCATAACAAGGAGGCCAGTGTGGCTGGACTGGCAGAACCACAGGGGTCTGTGGCCCTCGAGGAGGAGGGTGGGTTTCTCCCTAGGGCACTAGGGAGCCATGGAAGGATCTGGAGCTGGGGGGGCAATGGGATTTCTGGGACATTCTCTGAGGCTGTGCTACAAGGAGGAAGAGGAGCTGAGAAGGAAGCTGCTCTGGGCTCAGAGGGCTGTGTGGCAGTGGAGGAAGGTGCAAGGATCTGTGAGCAGTTGGGAATGAAGGGGTGCAGTTACGGTCAGGGCCCTGCACACTGCAGGGAGAAAGGGAGGGGGGGAGGAGGAACCAACCCCCCCGCACCCCCCCATATGAGATCCCAAAGAACTGTTCCAGAGATATGCTGAGCACACCTGACCTAGTGCTGGGCTAAGACCCAGGCTCCCTGGCTACTTCCCACACTGGGCCAGCTCTGAGCTACCAAGTCCTGACCACACCTACCCCAGGCCACACCCCCAGCTCCTTGGCCAGCCCACAGACTTCCTGGGCAAATCTTCGCCACCCCCACCCGCCACAGGACACCTCCAGTCTCCAAGCCCTGAGGAGGCCTCATCCCCACAGCCAGGGCCCTAGACTTCCAGGTCATCCTCCCACGGTCCTACCCCACAGGCCCGAGGCCACGCCCCAGCCCTGACGACCCTCAGGTCCGCCCTCACACAGGCCACACACGCACAGAGCACTCCTTCTGCCATACTTCCAAGAGCTGGCCCAGCTAGGCCCCCACAGATACCTTCAGGCACAGATGCTCTTCTGAGCTCTAGCCCCACCCGGCTCCAGTTCCACCCACTCCAGACAATGCCTGAGCCCTGGCCCCAACCTCAGCCCCAACCCACTCCACACCCGGCCCCAGAGCCCTGGCCCCAGACCACACCTCTGAACTCTGGCCTGGGCTCTGGCCACGCCCCAGTTCTGCCTCTGCCCCAGGCCACACCCCCTGGCATGGCCCCACCCCCAGGCCCCATACTCACATGAGGTCCCAGTCCAGATCCTCCCTCTCCACATCCCGCATGAGGTTCATCAGGCGCCTCTTGAAGAAGATCTCGAAGCGCAGGTCATCCTCAAAGACCAGCGATTTCTTCAGTCCCTTCTCCACGACCTGAGGGAGAACAGAGCCAGGCCTAACCCTGAAGCCAGCTCAGCTTAAAGGCTCTGGGGCAGCAGGTGGCTCTGGGGCAGCAGGCAAGAAGAAAATGCACCCCTTGCTGCCACTGTCTGGACTGACTTCCGCTCGGGCTACCACTTCCTAGAACATTCAACAACAGATGCCCGGGCCTGGCTGTTCCTCCCATTCCAGGGCCTGGGGCTGAGCTGACACAGCCCTCTCCCTCATGCAATGGCAGGTAGACTACCTCTCACCCTTTAGGCTTCAGCTCCAATGTCGCCCACCCAGGAGCTCCTTCCCAACCACCACCCAAAGCTGCCAGTTGAGGACAATTCATAGCCCTAGGTCCCTTCTCCAGATGTATCTCACTTATTTCACTCTGATTTGTTTCTTTGTGGTTTATCATTAGCCCGCCCACTTCCCAGGGCTGTGAGCCCCTTGCAGGGGGCTGGGTCTGTCCCGGGGGCTATCATGTCCCAGCACCAGCACCAGGCCAGGTGCACAGTAGGTGCTTGGCAAATGTTTCCTGAATCTTCATGACGGCCCCTGGAGGCCATGACTGTCATATGGGGAAACTGAAGCTCAGGCTGGGAAGAGCCTTCCTGCTCACAGGGCTCAGCCCTCTAAGAGGCAGGGCTGGACTTAAACCCAGATGCTTCCTGTCTTCAGGGCCACGTGGACACCACCACCTCTGCCCCATGCCACCCACAAAGAATCTCAGAAAAAGAGGGCAACCTGAGCGAGCACTCATTGCCTGAAACCCCTGAACACCCCCTCCAGAGCACCCTCCCACCTGCATCTGGACACCGCATCTGGCTTCGTGCCTGTAGTCCCAGGTTCGAATCCCAGCCTGGCATCCCCACCTACCACAGCCTCTCTCTCCGAGTGTGGCTGATGAGCCCCAGGGCTAATGCGCTACCCGTGGCGTGGGCTCTGTGCCGGTTAATGTCACCATGGCTGCTACAGCTATCAGTAAATGTCAAGACCAGAGTCCAGGCTCTAGACATCTGAAAGAAGCTAGGTGTGAAGAGGCCACACTTGGAAACTGGGCTCCCCCTCCCCCTTCCCCAGTCTCAGTGTCCACATCTACACAACGGAAGGACATTCCTTAAGAGGGGCCCTGGGTCCTGCTGCAGCCTGGGAGTCTGCCTGGGGGCAAGCAGTGCCCTCCCTGAGCTGTGCGAAGGCCGAGGAGGACCCTGCCCTACTCACTCCGCCAGACACTCTACCTGCCGGACTCACCTCCTTCCAGATGTTATAGTGGCTGAGGAAGCAGCCCAACTCTCCCTTGGTGAGGGGCCGCCCATGGTAGGGGTCCTGGTAGCCGGGCAGCATCTGGATGCCCAGTGCCTCCACCTGGCTGGTGTTCATGGCTCTGGGGGGGGGGGGACAGGAAGGGGTCAGTGGACAACCCATGCTGCCGGCTACTCCACATCGGTTAGTGCCCTCCTGCTGAGCAGCTGCTTCCCTCTTCCACTGCTGGCGCCCCTCCCGGACCTGTGCCAGGTCTGCAGGGGGCGGGCCACCCAAGTGTGGCTCTGTCAGCCGTCCCCTAGGGTCAGACTCACTTCCCCTCCACCATGGCCCCAACAGCACGGTCTACATCCCAGCATGGTCTACAGGGTAGGGCTCAGCTGCCACCCATGGCCCCAGTGCATGGTCTACACCCCTCCCCAGGGTAGGGCTCAGCTGCCACCCATGGCCCCAGTGCATGGTCTACACCCCTCCCCCAGGGTAGGGCTCAGCTGCCACCC